ACACACACACACACACACACACACACACACACACACACACACACACAGAGAGAGAGACAGAGACAGGGATAGAAAGAGAGAGACAGAGACAGAGAAGAGAGGAACCTATCTACATTCTAAAGATGAAGCATTTTAAAATTATTTCTTTTATTTTTTGAAATTATAATTACATCATTCCCTCTTCCTTGACTCACCTCTAAACTCTCCACTCCTTGTTCTCTTTCAAATACATGGTGTCCTTTTTCATTAATTTTGTTACATGCATGTATGTATATAACAGATATACCTAAATACATGAATACAGCCTACTTAGTTTGTATAATGTTACTTATGTATATGTTTTCAGAGCTGACCAGAATCATTCTTGTTGGAGAAATAAAATTTGAAGAGCATCTTTCTTTTTTAAATTAAGATTTGAATGCTCTAGGAGAGAGTTGATATCGTTTTGGAATTTTTTCTCATTTTTGACAACAGAGCAATTTGACCCAGAACTTTTAGTGACGGTCCTTTTGGATGAAAAAATTTGCAGGGCCTTTTAATTAGGAATTGACAGGGTGATTAACTTATAATTCACAAAAATAAATGTGGAAGAGAGAAGTGCAGGTCAATCTCTAGCTGTGTTAAGCTGTAAGGACAGCACTATTGGCAAGTGATTGCTTCCTTCTAACAGCTTTTCTAATTTTTCTTAATTGGATCCTTTGTTTTCTAATTGGATAGGGTGAACCATCATAAGGCTTTCAATTATGAGCTGTGGCATGATGATCCTGTCATATGGCACATGCTAAGTAAAGCCAGACTCGGAACATGGAAGATGGAACAGCTATCTTTTCTATGAAGAGAGAGGCACTCTCTCCTGAGCTGGGTTGATAAAGCCCCAAAGAAGTCTAACTGGCTTGATTTTTCCAGAGAGACAGTTTTGGACTTGTGTTTCTATTTGGTAGATGGTAATGTCTTATCATCATATAGAAATGACTGAGAACACAAGATTATTATTGCATCGTTAGGAAATGTTAAGAGATTATGGACACATGACCGGCGGATATGTAGAGCCGTGTATCTTCTGTAAGAGAGCAGGAGTCTTCTCAAAGGTGTTTGTATCTCTTGACTACTAGGCCACTGAGAGATTCTTTGTCCGCATTGTTCTGTGGCTCTCTTATTTTACAACCCACAGTGAATTCCTTCGTCTATGAGAAAAGATCTGAATATTTTGGCCCACATTTAACCTCAACTACCTTCAGTAGTTCTGTAGTTCTCAAATCACCAGGAGTATATACTTCATCTCTTATTACTCACTTTCTCTATATTCTCTGGGGGCATCAGGTCTTCACCAATTTTGGCACATGCCATTCCTGCTTAGTGTTCCTTCCGCATTTTTTCTTTGTCTAGTAAGTCTTAGTTATTAGTCAGGATTGGATAGAACTTCTCAAGTTCTATCATAGCATGACAGTGTAGCCTAATCTGACTTCTCCAAGCACCACTTGTTTTTCAGTCACCAACTACTGTTCTTTGTTAATATTTCTGTAACTGGAACTTCCAGGCTATTTGAACATTTTTATGGAACATGAGGTGAACATGGTCACCCCATTGCCCAACACTTGCTTTCTTGTACTGGAGAGTAACTAATTCTTAGACAATTGTCTTCCTTCCCTACAGAGGGTAGTAATACATAATGTGCTTTATATGACAATCATATCATTAGTGCCTAGAACTGGGCTTGGCTCAGACCAGGTGAATGAGAAGCTCAAGCTATCAATCAATCAATCAATCAATCTGTAATCTATCTGTCTGTCTGTCTGTCTCTATTTTTTGTTGTTTTATCTCTATTTGTTTTGTTGTTGTTGTTTTAATGGCGAATACTGCCCAGTTTCATAAACTCTGTTACTGCTTCAACCTAGTGTGGAAATTTGGCTTTAACACTTGGGACAGTATTTCTAGACATCATGCCTATCTGAAATGTTATGACCTTTCTATGCTTTTAGAATAAGCAAGTGAGATCCTGTGATGGGCATTTTGGCTCAGTACCTTGGAAAGGTCTTCCTCTAGAGAGGAAATGTGTTCTCTGATGCAATGCCCTTGGTAGGCAGGAACAGGACACAGCTGGGGTCTGAATCAGGCTAAATCCCATCTGATTGGAAATCAAGAAGCTGGTGCTTTTGAAGATTATGAGTCTGGAAAGCAACCGAGACAAGGGGATGCGAATCTTTGCTCAAAGCAGGTAGTGCCACTTCTCTTTGGCTTTCAGTATGATTTCTCTCTTGGCTGAAGCCTCCTGAATATCTTTAAAGATGGATTGGTGAAGACACAATGTTTTAATATTGGAACTTCTAACCCTGCTGTTCTCTTTTCAAAGACAGATATAATTAAAGTCTTGGAAAAGACTTCATTGAGATTGTTATAGCATTGAGGAAGGCCAGAAATAAATGCCAGAAATCCATGTTTCATGTTTCTATGTGATTTACTGAAAGGCAAAAGTACAGTTTTACATGTAAGAATCTCTTTCAGCTTAGCCATTCTGCTGCTTCATTGGTACTGATGACTTTAGATCATGAGACTGTTTCTTTTGACTTCTCTCGGATTTGTCGTTGTGTGTATTCATCCCACTTGATGAAAACACACTGAACAATTCACTGTCTTTGGCTAGGAGCCCATGTGTGGCACCTTTACTAAGATAAAGACATTCAAGAGAGACAAGCACAGTGGGTCCTTCCTCCAGCGAGCATCCTTAGGCAGCACCGTGGCTGCTGGTACTTCATGAACATCTGGCTGTCTCTTAAGTGGACTTTCTTATATCTAAATGCCCTATCCGTGCTATAGCCTATGCCTCAAGATCATCACTACTCTCAGTGTCTGCTCTTGGACCCCTGCTTCATAGCACATTATTTACATGCTCTATTTTTTATTTTATAAACAAATCCATAACTAGACTTAATTATCACACATTCATTCTATGTGAGTTTATTAAAAAAAGCTGTCAAACCTAAGTCCATGTTTTATCAGCATAATTCTTTCATAAACTGGGCATGAGATATGTTCAGCTAGAACATTCTTTTTAAAATTCAGCAGTATTCTATATATTTTAGACAGTTGACCTTTTGTTTATCCATCACAATTGAAAGTAAGAATGGATGAGGCAATATGAGTGTAGTCAAGGAATCCTTGGGGCATATTAACACAAGCATTTAAAAATAGTTCTTTCTAAACGGAGTTAGTGTAACTTACCAATAAAACTTCCTTCAAAACATAATAAAAATTTCACATAAAATGCATTTTTGGGAAAAGGCAGATACACAGTTTGATAAAGAATCAAAATAGAACAGCAATGCAATCCTTGTGTAAAATAAAGATCAGTCCTTTTAATTCATAAAATGGTATGTGGAACCAAAATAGTATCACACTACAAAGGAGTGATCCAACCACAAATGTCTTGAACTGTCCTTGTTCTTTAGAAAAGTTGACACTCGATGTGTTGTAATTGCAAAACTCACCTGTCACCGAGGATCGTTGGACTATACTCTTGAAAGACGAAAAGCCTCTGTTTGGATTGAGAACGTAGATCATACTGTTTGTGTTCTCTCTGTGGATGTGTAGGCATGTGGGGCCTAGCTGATATGTTCATGCATGTGGATCTTGAGAAGACACACGTGTGCACACACGCTCAGACTTAACCACAATTTCTCTACATACTCACATATCCATGCACATACTGGCACATACCTGATGGCAGGGAGCAATAGTAGAGCTATGCCTTCGTGCTGTCTTGTACACATTTTTTAAGAGCGTGAGGCATTCATGAAGTATTTCTAGAGTGCTAAAAGGAACACTCAAGGGGTTAATGTAGAACACATATAGGAAAATATTGTCATTTATTTTATTCGAATGTTTGGAACTTAAATACAAAATCATCACGAAGTTTTCACAAAATGAAGCATCTGTCGCTTGGAAGGAAAAAATATTTCAGAAATATGTTTACAGAAATGTAAAAATATTAGGCATCAAGACAGATGTGAACATACTCAGTAGCTTGTCTTGTCTGTCAGTCTTCTGAGCCGAAGATCTTATCGTACTCGCTCAGCAGGAACTCTGCTATCTGGTTTTGGTATACCATGTGTATCGCCATGTTTCCCGACTCATTTTCAGCTCGCAGGAGGGTGGGTCCAAACACAATCCCTAAGCTTTGTGTAGACATGAGATTCTGGGAGGCTTTGGCCACTATCCTGGGGAGAAGAAAAAAATAAAGAAAAGATGCCATTGGAGTTTCATGTGGATTTGTGGCTAGCTCTAGTTCCAGGAAAAAAAGAAAAACAAAGAACCTCACCACACTATTTGATCATGAGCCCTTCATGAAGTTCTGAATGAAAGAAGAAGCTGTAGTGAACACCACCTCATGCAAGTTTAAATCCTCATTATAAATGGATACTGTGGATGCTTGGTAAGTATGAATAACTACGCTAAACAGCAAAATTCCTGTGGAATTACAATTATAAGCAGCCTAGGAGGTACTTATAATCAACAGAGAATAGAGGTGATACATTCATGGGCTATATCAGAATCCAAAAATAACAGAAAATAAATGTAAAGTCAATAATGGAAGACAGACATAAGGACTGGGAACAAGTAAGACTTTGGGGATTAGAGTAAGGGAAGTGCACTTGGAAGACGCCAACTGGAATATGCTCTGTAGGGAGGTTGGCTCTGAGACAGTTAGGTATATGTCAAAATTCTGTTTCTCTGTTCAGCTGGATGGGTGACTTTTCTCATGTCTTAATAGAATGCAGACTCTGGTAGCAATTCTATGAAGAATCCTTTTGAGATCAGAGATGTACTTGCTCCCATGAGGATTAAATGGCAAGCTGGGATATCTTTGGTACACAAAGATGCTGTCTTAAAGGAATGCCTTACATGGCACAAAGCAACTCTTCAAGGAACCCCAAGCTTTCCTGCCAGAGCTTAAACAGACAATGTGTGGTCTCATGGTTGATAAGCCCTAGTTTCCTATCAAAATTCTGGAGCATGAGGTTTCAAAGATGGTGAGAAACTAGGGCAGCACAAGGAAGGCAGGCGCTAAGAGATGCTGTGATAGACTTCCAGACAACCGGACCCAAGTGAAGTGCGAGCCAAACACTGAGTGTGTTGTCCTCAGTGCTAAGCGCGGGACTTTGTTGAGCTGTTTAGGCCTTGATGGATGTCTTGTTTGGCCTGTGCTGGTCTACACAGTTCAGTGTCAGAGGAGGCGGAAGGCTCTACTTACTTTTATTACTCTGCAAGTGGAACCTTTCAAGTCCTGTGTTCTGGCTTGTATCTAAGTACGGTCCAGGTTAAGGTAATGGAGTGCGGCCAACGAACTACTTGACTTACATTGTCTCAAGCAACAATAATCCACTACTATTTTAAAGTGTCATTTAATCCTCATAACAACCCCACAAAGCAGATTCTGTTGTTAGCTCTGCTGAGCAGGTGAAATGGCTGAGGCCCAAAAGTGCATGAGGAGGGATTGATGCCATGCAGAATGTAGGCTGGTACACAGGCTGTGTGGTCCCAGCTCTTCAGGACACATCATCTCAAGGGTGTTAACACCCTTATGCTTTATAACGGGGCCAAACTTTCACTCGGCTGCCCCTTATGGGATTACTGAATCTGCTGTAAGAGGCTCTGAACTTTCATCCTTCACTGTACAATGGTGATTGTCTGTTTGGTTGTAGCCCATTTACTGTGTGCAAAGTGACTGCAATTTTGAGTGAAAAATCCAAGACATCCTGCCTCACGTTTTTTTCTTTTCCTCCTGCTTTAAGTGGCGAACATTTGTACCTGTGAGTATTGTTGGCATGGCTACCTTTCTGGAAGGGAGTCTCATATTTTTAGAGTTTCAGCAAGTTACCACAGATTTCAAATTTAACATTTCCTTTGAAATTAACAAAAAAAAAGGGCCGTGTCACTTTGATGCTTCACTTTTCAAAAGGTCATGAAGTGAAATGAGCCTCCTCTCCCCACATCTGGGTAGTCGGACGGGCCTGCAATTCCTGGAAGCATGGCAGTTTACCCCAGTTTAAGATTTTATGAACCCCATCTTGGCAAGTGTGCTATACAAGTCATTAGGAAGACTTATTTTAGGGTAAAAAAGGTTTTCATCTTTTGCTTTTAAATGAATGCCTTTGTGATACCAACTCTAGCAACTCCAACACAAGAGAAGTTGCCAAAGACAAAAATGGAAAAAACAAAACATAACAAGTAACTGAGTACTCAGCAGGCAAAAGTTTCTGTAACTTTACCCACTGACAGCAAACATCTCCGCGGCTAAGACGGACCCAGCAGAGACCAGTGCTCTTTGGTCATAGGCTATGGAGAAGGCAGACAGACATTCCAGACAGCATTGACTGTATGATGGTAAATGGCCTGGCAAGGGCCGGATCATTAGGGGTTGGAGTCTGGAGAGTCTGAAAGAGGAGTGGCATGATGTAGAAATGAACCGAGGGATGAAGATATATTTTCCAATTTACACTGTTCTAATTTCTGTTGGACGAAAGAATGAGCAGGCAAGCTAGGATAACTGGGTGCTCAAACTGAGGGACACCTTTAAAGGGGAAGGCCAGAGTCAAGGCATATCCAGGATTTGGTAAGTGCAGTGGATAATCATGGCTGCCAGAAAATGATGGGGTAATTCATCCAGGGGCGGACAGCTAAGCTCTCACCCACAAAGCACAGCTGGTGGGATGTAGCCCTGTGAAGAACAGAGGCTGGATGGAGGCTAGAACCTTTCCTGTTCTCCAAAAGTTACAGGTCATCGCAGTCACTATTTATTTGTTTGTTTGTTTGTTTATTTATTTATCTATTTATCTGTCTATCTATCTATCTATCTATCTATCTATCTATCTATCTATCTATCTATCTATCTATCTATCTATCTATCTATCTACCTATTGTTGGCAAAGGCCCTGCATCAGATCCGAGAACAAGGCCAAGTCTAGAGGACGGTACTGACTGAGTTGATGTAGAATGGAAGACAGAGATGCAGGCCACCCTGAAGGACCCTCCTCCATCTTAGCTGGGGGCTATAGGGACTCCCCAATGGATTCTTTCTAATAGGTGGGTTCCTGCTATACTGTCTTCCAAACTGACCTCAGGCGCCAATTTTATGAAGCCTAGGAAAGAAACGGTGTTTCCCAGAGCTCATTTAAGTGACAGCTTTCAGGAAGGTAGTGCCAACCAGGGTCTGCCTATGTGTTGTCAGTGCCCAGCTTTTGCATTCATATATACATAAATAAAAAAGTATTCATCTCATCCCAAACCCATATTCTTCAGGTTCATTCTCTACAAATTTCCCACCTGATTTCGATAATGCTAATGGATGAGTGCTTTAAAATGATCTTGTTCAATGCAAACAGTTCAGAATATCTTTATAGCTTTATATTTTCACCACATCTGGATTAGCGCAGATTACATTTTGGTAGCTGCCTGGATAACATGTTTCTTAAATTAATAAAACCAAGTCACTTGCTATGCCTTCTAGAAACACAAGATGTAGCCCAAAAATAAGACAGTATGGGTATGTATTATATGGAACCTGTGCTAATTGCTTATTTACCATTATAAAATGCACAGTGTGTGTGTGTGTGTGTGTGTGTGTGTGTGTGTGTGTTTTCAACAGTTTATTTTCTGAATACCAATGAGGTAGTGGTTGATAGGTTGAAACACTAATCTTCAGGTTAGGAATGATGCTGCTGGTGAAGACCAATCTGAGGTAGACATTTCTGACTATTTAATTAAGTGACTCATGTTGACAGACATACAATCTCACACTAAATGTTAAATTAGATGACAACCCCCTTTTGTGGACTACAGAGGCAGACACTTCTGTCAAAGCAGGCTTTGAAATTAGGGGTGCCTAGCTGGGGTAAACTTTGCTACTCAAACATAAACCTAGTCATTCCTACCTTGCCAGACTCCTGAGTGGTTAAGTGGCTGGTTGAGGAGCACATAGCCCATCACAGTTTCCAAAATACAGAGGATTGTGCAAATCATCTACACATCACATCATAATAGCACACCTCCTAGTCTCCTGTGTGACTTGATGGGAATTGCAGCCAGAGGCGTAACTAGTGAGTTAAGCAAGAGTGCAGTCTCACAAATATAAAAACTCTGCCTGTGCTATGTGTAACCTAGCATCCGCAGAGGAAAGCAACCATGTAGCAGGCAGCTCTTCTAGCAGTTGTCAGAGGGGAGGCTCTGGCTGACAATACCTTCCGGAATGCTCTCACCAAAGTGAGCTCTGGGAAACAGCATGTCTTTCCTTGGCATCATAAAAAAAATGCCATCTGAGGTAAGTTTTGAAGAAGACTGTGGTTTGTTTTATTTCTTGTCAAGTTTAGTGCATCAAACTGTTAGGCAGATTCTAGAAAGTTAGCAGAGAAAATGGCCCTGCTCCTGTTCAGCTTGAGTCCTCTCTAACTTAGAGGGCAGGCATGGATTTAGTGCCTCAGTGGCACTGAGCTAAACTTTTACTTAGTAAGTAAAAGTTTACAAACTTGTGAAACGGGTCAGAATTATTGCTTTAGAAGAGCAGGGGAGTGACAACATAGCACTATAGGACTGCCACCCCTTGTTGGGTGCAAAACGAGCAGTCACCCATGGATGTCGGATTATGAAAGAAGCAATCTGCACCGCAATGCTGCAGATGTTGGACCTCTGTTCAGAACAAGAAAGCAAAACCCACCAACCATCCAACCAAACAAAACTCAGAAAAGCCTTGTGCTTGGTAGATTTAAAAAAATGAGCAGAATTTGAGCTAACTGAAAGAAATTTCTTGCTTGCATACAATCACAGCCAAATGACTCAAGCTGAAAGAGGGATTTGGTAGAAGGCTGAAAGTTAATATGGAATTAGAAAAAGCAGTATGTTTAATAGTAGCACAGATTCAAGCAGATAGTTTATTGTGTACATGTGTGCATGCATGTGTGTGTGTTTGTGTGTATTTGTCTGAGTGAGAGAACAACTTGCAGAAGTTGGTTCTCGACTTGAATCATAGCAGTCTTAGGGATCAAACCCAGATCATCAGGCTTGGCAGCAAGTGCCTTTCCCAGCTGAAACATCTCACCATCCCTCAACCTTCCTTTTAAGTTTGTGTTTTCCTGTTACCATGGTGATGCGTGAAGGACACAGAAAGCCACACAACTTCCCACGGGACCAATTTTCGGTTCTGGGGGTGGTGGTGGTGGTATTG